GGATGGAGGCCTGAGTGGAGGAAGAGAAACGTGTCAGGATGCCCAGACGGGCCTGAAGTGGGGTCCGTGGTGGGGGGGTTAGGACTAGTGAGTTAGGGTGGAAGGCTTGGTGCGAGATGATGACGTGCAGGTAGAATTTGCACACGGAAGTGCCAGCCACACAGCTGGACGTCTGGGCTTGCGGTCGGCAGTGTGGGAGCTGCGACCCAGAAGCAACTGTCCCTGAAGTGGGGGTTGTGGGTGGCAACTGACATGTGGCAGAGACAAGGAGATGCTGAAAGGGTCACTTATGACGCGTGTCCCAAAGCACAGCAACACCAGGTTTCCAGGTGGGGTTGCGTCCCCTGGGTTCACCAGAGAGTCCTCCTCGGTCATCTTGCTGCTGCCCTTGAGCCAACGGAGCCGCCCCTAGAGGCTGCCTTCCTCCCTCTGAGCCTCACCCTTCTCCACTGACCTCAACCAAAAACGAAGTGCACCCAGCCCTTTGCAAACACACTTGAGAGCTGGAAGAACAGGTCTTGGGCCATTGCTGCTGCCGTATTTCACACGGCTCCTCAAACAGGCCAAACCCGGGGTATGATTACTTTGTTTTAGAAGAATGAGAGTCGGGTTTGTCCCTCAGGCGTTGAGAGAGGGAAAGAGAAACACAGGTAAGAAGCAAATGGAGGCAAAATGCTGTGATGTTACAGAGAAAAGCCCTAAAAAATTTTAACTGAGCTTTGAGGGGTTGCCTGGCCCACGTTGCATGATCCTGTATGAAGCATAAACCCCACCAGGCACACTGTGTGTTGTGTGCTAGATGCAACTGTTGGGGTCAGTTCACATGGCGCCACTTTGTTAATCCCAAAGGGACAGTGCCCAAGAGGAGAGGGAAGCAGCCAGGTTGTGTGAACAGCAGTCGGTGCCCTAAGATTGCAATTGAACTGGTAGGGAACAGATTTGAGGGAGACCTTGACTGAACCTGTGTATCATGGCAGCTCTCCGGGCTCAGGGTCTTTAGCTGAATTATTCAGTGTCACTCGTGCTTGGCATTCGCGACCAAGTACACCGTGGCCCAGAAATGGAGTCACAGGTTGCAAACCGACGGCTCACAGGTAAGTTTTTTGTGGTTGTGTTGTTTTGATCTGCACAGTGTTTTTTGACTGAGGTAGTTAAGAACACTAAAAAAGGGGGAGTCTTCAAATCAAAATCTAGATCTCTTGCTCTTCTTGATAAGTAGAAATATCTGGAGATGCAGGGCCTCTGTTCCGCAGGGCAGTACTGTGTGGAAGCTGGGTAGCTGCTGTCTCGTCCCTGGGTTTGTGAGCACCACTTTCTGTATCTCCTCAACTCAAAACAGAGAGTTGGCTGCCAAATGGCCAGACGTCATGTTTGTCCTAATGTTTGCGTCACACCAGGCCCTCTTCACTGGTTTTCTGTGCTTATGGGGCCCTAGGGCATTTGAGCTGTGACGTAGCACTTTGAGTCATTTCACTTGACTTGGTGCTGGTACTGGAACGGGGGGGCCCCCACAAGGTGGGGGGTCAGCCCCAGGACAGGGGTAAGGCTGGCGGGCTCCCAAACACCTGTGCTCAGGAAGGCTTGGCCGGAGCCCTGTTAGGTAGACATAGGGGCTGGTGACTTGCTCAGAGGCACTGAGACAAAGGAATTGCAGGGCTGAGATCTGAACCCCAGTCTCTGGCTGTGCCAGCTGTGGATCTGGCCACCACACCCCCAAACTGAACTTCCAATCACAAACTAACCCTTATAGGCTTGTTTTGTTTGGTTCTCTTTGTGGGGAGGGCAAGGAAGGCAGGCCTCTCTCCAAGTCGGCCAGCTGAGCTCCGCTGCCTCGCCTGTGTGTTTGCATAAGCGGTGCCTGCCAGTGTCCACTGGGGACCTGCTGCTGACCAGCTGTTGAAAGGGCCTTCGAATAAACAACCCCCCTGGCTTTAGGATTGCATTTCAGAGTGAAAGAATTTTGAACTTCTCCTCTGTCTTGTTAGAAATGTGTATTTTGGCTCCAGGGGAAGGATCCTCTGTCTCTTCTAGCACATCCCTGGTCTTGCCTGATCCTGTGAAGCGCAGCATGGACATCATTTAAGTCCACCACGGCCATCGCTCTGTTGAGGCCTCCTGGTGTAGCAAGACTTTCTTCCAGGAAAGAGCACTTGCGCCAAAGGGGCCATGCTGTTGAGGCTGAGCCAGCGATGTATCTCCCTTCTCTGTTTCCTCCATCTCCTCCTCCTCCTCCTTCAGGAAGTGCCTTGCCCAGGAGTTTCCCGAAGCCGCTCTCCTGCTCAGTCCCCCCACCCCCATCCATGTGTGTGGGGAACAGGCCTGTGTATAGAAACACTGGGTTTTGAACCCACGTCTGACTCCACACCTGGGCTCTTTCTGGAACCAAGAGCTTCTTCCTTAAGCTGCATGCGTCTCTGGGTGACGTGAGGGCTCTGTCCACAAGGCTGACCCACTGCCGCTGGAGAGACGCTGATGACCATAGAGCCTCTGGCTTTTGCTCAGGCCACCGGCCTCATAAACGGCCCGGTGAGGAGCCGCCACCAGGGCACTTGTCTTCTGAGAAACCTGTTCGCAGGGAGCCCGCAGCAAAAATTTTCATATCGTCATAGAAGCACTTTTATGTGTATGGTTCTTTGTTTCCAGAGCGGGGAAAGAGTCCGAGGGTTCTAGAAGGTTTGAGGAAATGGGACACTTATGTTTATATGTGGGAGGTTCATTATGAAAATGCAGACAAGCCCCACGATGGTATTTGTTATCACGGGGTGGTTTCAGCACCAGTGGCGTTGTCTTCCGTTCCTGGCAACCCTGCCTTCCTTTCTTGATGACCCTTTGGCAGTTAGGTTCCTTTAGGTTGTATGTGACTGAAAACCCAGCCCAGCCCGGCTTCGGTGAAGAAGAGAGTTATCAAGGGGGGCTGGCCTCATAGGAGATGTGAAACTTGGGCCCTCGCTCTCTTTGGGCGTCCACAGGGGCTGCCCCAGGCCTCGGCTTTGTGTGTTGCGGCTCAGGCACCTGGCGCAGCCGGCAGAAGGGCCTGCCTCTCGCCTTTGCAAAGCCAGGTGCCCCTCCGAGCAGCCATGAGTCATCGGGTGGAGACAGGGCCCGTTTTCCTGAGAAGGGTGTGGTGTGCGGGTCTGCGTGTGGCGAGCCTGACCCTAGTCTTGAGGGCACACGGATGGGTGGTTTTCCTTGTGGCTTTGTCTGCGGTTGCCTGTGACATTTGGAGTCACTTCTGGGCTTAAATGTCCCCTATCCATTATTGGAGATGGATTTCGTCAGGGATCATAAGTCCTCTAGGGCAGGATGCAAAGATTTAATTCACTCCTTTGTAGGGAGGTGGAGGTAGATCAAGAATCTGTTAATGTTGAGAATGTGGGACCAATGGTGTTTTTATACAGTTAGCATTTACACCCCTGCACAAAGCCTGCTCCCAAAATACCATTGTCCCAGGGCCACTGGGGAGGCGACTGGCTATGCTGCCCCTTTTATCTCCTGTCACCAGGCTTGGCATTGGCATTATGCTCCAGCCTGTGTTCAAAATCCAAGCAGTCTCACACCCATCTCTCTCTCTCTCTCCCACCCCCTTCCCTCCCCAGTGATAAAAGGGAGGACAAATTGTTCTGTGATGAGACTTAGGGTTCATTGGGGTTTATAGCTCGTTTCTTTCTATTTCCCAGAGTCTCTACCCAAAGAACTCAAATGACCATGGAAGTGTTGTTGGTAAATCATACTAGGTAGGTAAGATGAGCAAATTGATGTTGCTAAGAAAACTGTGAGGAACCTTGGAGAGCGAACTTGTGTTTTCCTTGTTTTGTGAACTTACAGAGTTTCTGTATGCCGAGGACAAAGAGCTCTCGCAGGTGTCTCTGACCTGCCCTCCCTCGGGAGTGGCATACAGTCTGCAGGAAGAATGTTGAGAGAATATGATTCTTCAATGCCCCGTTTATGAGTTTTGGGGGTTGGCTGGTTTCTCATAGACACTACTGAATATACTTAAAAAGGAGGGACACTGGAGAAGACAAGGCATTTGGGAACGAGCTCAGGAGAGTGGAGGGATAAATGCAAAGAGCATCAGCAGTCATAATAATAGCAGCGTTCCCAGTGGCATCGTGAACGGTCAGCCATTCCCTGACAAACGTTGCATCCTTCATGCAGACAGAACAACGCTGGAGACTGAAGGCCTTGTCTCAGCACTTTCCGTGTGGCCCACAGTGGTCCTCTATTATTTCAGAGGTAAAAGCTTAGTGTTATAATGCAGTAGCCTCATAAATCCTCATGATGGATACAATACTGACTCATTTTTACAAGTCCTGGCCATAGAAAACAGGCTATAACACTTGTATTTGTTTATTGCATTTACTAACAGTCATTTTTGCTGAGAGCCTCCTGTGTATAGGATTGTTACATGCATCATCTCATTTAATCCCCCCTCACCTGGGTGGAGGGGGCACAGATGTTATTCTTATGCCATTTTATTTATGAGGAGAGTGAGGCTTAGGGAGATTAACTCACTTGCCCTTGACTACACTGGTCGAAAGTGGCCAGGCTCTGACCCAGATCCCACCTGGCCGGCCCCCAGGGCAGTGCTCATAATGCCAGCTGGGCCACCTGATCTGGAAGCAGTGACCAGCCAACACAGCAGAGCCGGAGCCGGGTGAAGGGAAGAGTAGGGGGCACGGGGTGCGTCGTGCCTGTGCAGGTGCAGGGCTGGATCCTGTCCTCATGGGGCATTTTGATCCTTTGTTCATCACGGATTTTCCTTGCATTAACTTTGCCTTTTAAAAATATTGTATTTGGGTATTATTATCTATCTTGGTTACCGGGGTTGCCAGCGTTCAGGGCAGGTATAATCATCTCTGTTTTGTGAGTGAGGACCGCCAGGCTTGTCAAGGTCAGGAGCTGGGGTATTTGCCAGGTCTCCTGGCCCCCAGACTGGGGACAGCAGTGTGGCTTGCCTCAGTGGGGACTGTGGAGCTCTCAGCAGTGCGCTTCTCTTCCAGGTCGGGAAAGAGGTTGAAGAAGACCCGCAAGTATGACATCATCACCACTCCGGCCGAGCGAGTAGAAATGGCCCCACTGAACGAAGAAGATGACGAGGATGAGGACTCCACAGTATTTGACATCAAATACAGGTACAGGTGGGGACAGCAGCTACCTCCTTGGCTCCCGGACTTGGGGTGGTGGGGCGGTTCGCCTCTGACAACCCCACAAGGCCAGGCGTGTGTTCTTGTCCTCGGGCCGAGTGTTTGACCTGGGGATGTGCTGTGCACGGGGCAGCGGCCCTGACGCCTACGACAGCACACGGCGCGCAGGAAGCCGGCAGGACGCACTTGCAGAGAAACGGCTCCTCCCCACTGTTCCTGAATGAAAAGCCAGATCTACAGGGCGAAAGGGAAGGCCAAGTTTCAGACATGGAGCCAGTCATGTGCTTGCTGTGAGGGACTTGGTCTGAGCAGCCCCGTCTGTCACACACTGTACACAAAAATGGAAACTTCTCTCTCAGCCTCTCTTGAATTCATTCCCCAGAGCAGGGAGCGAGAGTGGCCTTTACGAATAAACTCGAAAGCCAGGGGCCTTTCCTCCAGCCAGCCTAGGGAAAGGCCAGCTTGGTGGTGTGACTTCAGGAGGGAGTGTGGTGTTGGATCCTTCTGGGATGTGCTTAGGATGTGCGGGATTCTCAGTGTGCGAGCTGGGGGTGAGCACAGCTTAGAGAGGAGGGCTCAGGGGTCCATAGAGGGCGTGTTGCTTGCCCAAGGTCTCAGTTACTAGTGGCAAAAGTGAGACACAAATACAGGCTGGACCCAATCCTGAGCTCCCCCCCGCCGATGGCTCTCCAGAGAAATAGAACCAGTAACCCTGTATCTATATATAGAAAGAGATTTATTTATAAAGGTCCAAGCCCGAAGAACTGAGAACCAGGAGAACTGAAGGCGTAAGTTCCAGTCCCAGGGTAAGAGAGGACCACTATCCCACCTCAAAAATAGTCAGATAGAGCACATTCTCCGTACTCAGCCTTTTGTTCAGCTCAGGCCTCCAACAGATGGGGCGGGCCCCATGCACACTGGGGGGGGCAACCTGCTTTATTCAGGCCAGGAGATGGTTGTTAATCTCCTCCAAACCACTCCAGGGACAGGCCCAGGGTAATGCTTGACCAAATATCTGGGCACCATGTGACTCAGCAGGTTAACTCATGAAATTGACCATCATACACAGCTTTTCTGCACCTGGGAAGGTGAGTCTCCACATCTCCCTGACTTCTCCCCCATGGCTTTGGCTCTTCGGAGCCCCTGGCCCTCCCATATAAATCAGTAGTCAGATTCGGCAAAACAATGTTTGGGATTTTGATGAGAGCTGTATGGACTCTTTCGATCAGTTTAGGGAGAATCAACCGCTTTATGTTGGCTTTTCCAGTCCATGAACATGAACGGACTTACTGTTTTTTAGATATTTTCAAAACCATCTTTCAGTACTTTCAAAAGTTTCTCTGTAAATCTATTATAAATTTTAGTTATATATATTCCCAGGTATTTTATATTTTGAGACATTCATGCTTTAAAAATACCATTTTTTATATTCATGTCTAAAAAATGATTTTTTACATATATTACTGATATTAGAAATAATTTGTTAATGAATCACACCTAGAAGACATAAACAAAACACAGATTGGTTATAGATAGCAGAGTTTAGGAAGAAGTCATTAGCTATAATTTACATTTTTTGGTGAAGAGCAGCACCTTTTGAGAAGAATCCAAACAATTATACACATGCAAAATAATATACACATACAAAAGATAGTGATCGTATTGATTTTATTGCTAAACCATTTTACCTGCATCACATTCAATGCACAGAAATAAAACATAATGAGAAGAAAACTATTTCTTCATCATTTGTCACAATAAAAAGGGTTTGCTGCACCTCGCAGGCCACAGGCCGGGTGGTATTGTACAATAGGAGCACTTGATAGCTTAAGTGGATCAGCGTGCTGTTTTGATTCTGAGCCACTGAATAGAATTTTATCCATATTTGGTGACCGGAATAACTCCTTGGGAGCTGTAGTACGCTGAGCCCCTTTTGTGGTAGCCTCAGATCTCACTAAATAAGAAAAGGCCCTCAACAAAGAAATGTAACAATCAGTCGGTCCAGAAATTCTATCTATAGGCTCTTTCTTGAGTATAAGGTGGAAAAAGGGGTCCTTTCTCGAGTACATGGATACAAGTATTGTAGTCTAAAGACTACTAGATTGATACTGTGTCAGGTATAATGAAGATAAGGTACATATTGAAACCACCGTCAGATTAAGAAACTTCCCACAATTCGTCTCAATTCTTCCAACAGAGTAGCAAGTTTCCTTCCCAGGCTGAGGATGAGTGCTGTATTCGCATTGCTGCTGCTGGCTCTGACACTCACCACCAAAGGCAAATGAGTTGTTCAACTTTTAAATTTTTTTCAGTTTTATTGAGGTTTAAATGATGTGCGTTGCTGTATAAATTTAAGGTGTACAGAATAATGACTTCACATACACATACTGTGAAATGATTACCACAGTAAGTTAACATCTATCGCTTGATATAGTTACAAGTTTTTTTTCCTTTGTGGTGAGAACTTTTTGGATCTCTTCTCATAACAGCTTGAAAACACACCACACAACAGTGTTAACTGTAACTCTAGTCATCATGTTGTACGTTATATCCTCGGTACTTATTTATTTCATAACTGGCAGTTTGTACCTTTTGACTGCCTTTGCCCAATCGCCCCAGCCTCCACACACTCACCTCTGGTAATCACAAATCTGATTTTTTAAATGAGTTTGGCTGTTCTGGATTCCACCTATAAGTGAGATCATACAGTATTGGTTTTTTGCAGCCTGACTTACTTCACTTAGCGTGATGTCCTCAAGGTTCATCTACATTGCTGCGAATGACAGGATTCCCTTTTTCTTATGCTGAATAATATTCCACTACATCCATATCCATTTTATTTTATTTTTTTAAAGAGTTTATTTTTTTTTTAGAGAGAGGAGAAGGGAGGGAGAAGAAGAGGGAGAAAAACATTGATGTGTAGGAAAGACATCAGTTGGTTGCCTCTTGCACATCCCCAGCTGAGGACCCGGCCTGCAACCCAGGCCTGTGCCCTGACTGGGAATCGAACCAGTGACCTTTTGGTTCTGAGGCCAGCACTCAGTCCACGGAGCTGCACCAGCCAGGGCCCATTTTCATTTTCCATTCATCTGTTGATGGAGACTATGGTTGTTTCCAAGTCTTGGCTGTGGGAAATAATCCTGCATGAAGATGGTGGTGCAGATATTTCTTCAACAAAGCGATTTCGTTTGCAAAGGCAAATGAGTAAATGAACCCCTTGGTAGGTGTTAAGGTAACAGATAATACTTCTGTTTTCGAAGGAACAACTTTGCCCCCTGCTCAGTTGCAAGGGCAAAGGCAGGTAGGAAACCAGGTCTCCGAGCGCGCTCTGGAGCGTTTTCATTGTAACAGGCACTCCATCTCTGACACAGTAGCATGGGCCCTTCCACACATGGTAATTTGTAATAGAGGAATCTGCTCCTTCATCACCATTCTAGGCAGAAACTCAGGGCCCAGCAAGTCCACGTGTATTAGCCTTTGACCCCAGATCATCTGTCATAATGAACCCCTGTGTCCTGCAGGATCAATCTCCATGCCGAGGTTTCTGCTTCCAGGGCTGCCCGCTTTTCTCTGCGATCACTCTGGGGACAGCTTCAAAGACAGGGTCCTCTGTGAGCCGTCGTCACATGGTCTGACATCTTGCCTCTGGTATCTTTTTAAAAACACCATTTTCTCACCTTTTGCTCATGATGTTTAAAAATGTAGTTGATTTTTTAAAATACTCATTTTAAAAAATCCAGGAACTTCTTTAAATTGTTATTAATTCTAGTAGTATCAGTGGGGATTTGGGGGGGTTTTATAAACCCCCCAAATATATCATCTGTGCAAATATATCATCTGAGACTAGTACCAACTGCCTCTAAGTCCTTCAGCATCTTCTCTTTTTTCTTTTTTTCGCTCTTTCTTGTACTCTTTTTTTTTTTTTTTTTTTTTGGCCTTTAAGTCATTATTAAATGGAAGTGATGATAATAGGAATCCTGTCTCGTTCTGGATTGTATAGGGTATGCTTTTAATATTGACCAAGAAGAGTAGTGTTTGCTATAAGGCTTTGTAAATTTTTTTCTCTTTCTACCAGGAAGTCTCCTATTCCTAGTTTGCTAATGTCAAATTTTGTTAAATGCTTTTTCTGGCTCTATTGAAAAGATCATACTTTTTTTCTTTACTCTGTTAGGGTGGTGAAATTATATTCATTGATTTTTCTAACATTAAACCAACTTTGCATTCCTGAGATATAAAACAAGCTTGGGCATGGTTGTGTTATCTTTTTATACATTGCTGCATTAAGTCTGCTGATTTTTTTTAAATATTTCACAATTTATATTGTTTATTAGCGTCTACAGTCTGCTAAACAAAAGCAGGATTCAGTTTGCCAATAGTTCGTTCAGGGCTTTCTTACGTCTCTTAGTGACTAAGATTGGTTTGTTGTTTTCCTACCTTATAATATCCTTGTCCAGTCTTTGGTAAATGGTTGACTAGCTTCATAATACAAACTGGATGTGTGACTTATTTTCCTTTTCTCTGAAATAGTTTGTATCAGATTATAATCATTTGTTTCCTGAATGTTGAGTACATCTTGCCAAAGCTGGCTGGGAATAGCCTTATGCTTTCTTTGTGCAAAGATTTTAAAAAACCATTGATCAGTTCTTTGAACAGTTCTAGGGCTATTCAGTCTTTCTTTTCTCTTGGATCAGTCGTGATGGGTTGTATATTTTTGGAAATTTGTTCATTTCATCTAAGTTTTCAAATATATTGTTCTAAAGTTGTTCACAACATTCTGTTATTGTCATCTTTTTAATCTTTGTAACGTGTGGTCATGGTCCCTTTTCATCCTTAATATTAATTACGTTTGTTCTCCTTTTTCTTGATCCAGCTTGCTGGACATTTAATTTTAATTTGTGTATACAAAGAGCAAACTTTGGTTTCTTTGATGCTCTCTATTATATTAGCATTTTCAATTGATTTCTGCTTCTCTTCCACAAGCTTCCTTG